CCCCCCCCCCCCGGTCTAGGGCTAGGGTTTGGTCAGAAGATAGATGGAGGAGATACTAGCACCAAGGGGCCCTGGCTCTGTCTGGACAAGGAGGGAATCTGTAATAGAACAATTTGAGTTGTGTAAGACAAGAGCCCAGCTCCAAGGACTTTAGAACAAAAAGGGAATGATTTAGCTCACATAACTGAGAAGTTCAGGGTGCAGCTAGAGCCAGGGGCATAGTATGGTTAGGCATGCATCTCTTCATCCCTTGGCTCTGTCTCCTTCTGTGTCAGTTTTATTCTCAGCCAGGCTCTTTCCAGGCAGTGGCAAAGGAGTCCTTATCCTTCCTTCCAGCTCAGCCCCGTGGGAAGGGAAACTAATGTCTCTTTCTTATTGGTCCAGCCAAGGTTGCAGGTTGATTCTGATTCACCTGAATCCTATACCCAACTCTGAACTAATTATTTCAGGAAGGGGAGTGGAATATGAAAATTGGCCAGGCCTATTTCTCTCGCTCACACCTGGAGCTAGGGAGTGGGGTTAGCGCCCCCAACAGGCACATGGGTAGAAGAGGGAAGGCCCCAAAGTTCAGCCAGGATTGGGGGAGGGAATCTGGGCACGTCAACACTAACAGGTATCCTTGGAAGTGAAGCCAGGAGGTATGGTAGGAATGCAGGTGAGAAAACCTAATGGGGGGGCTGTGGTCCCAAAGGGATACTCGGGGCTCAAGTTTAAGCTGAAGGCATACCAGGACATGGGTTCGGTTGGCTGTGCGGCATGGACACTGCCCAGGATAAGGATGTCTCCTATCAGCTTTGATAAGGGAGACATCCTGGCCTGAGGGTGGGGTGGGGGGTGGGGAGCAGAACTTCTCTGCCTCCACTGCAGTATAGTATCTCTCTTTTTCTGCCACTGTGACCCTGGGCTTTCTCTGAGAAGATAGTGGATGGACAGTACTCACTCCAAGTCTGGGCTGAGCTGAGCTGGGCTGGGCTGTGCAGAGACAGAAGCACAAGGGGCTGCCTGTGGGATAAACTTCCCCTTACAAGTGTGCCAGCTGGGTGGGGACAGCTGGGCCATGCAGGACTGGACACTTGTCTCCAGGGCTGGGCTGGGGTGATCTGGATGCCTGTCTGTGTCTCCAGGAGGCAAGATGGCGAGTGGGCCAAATGGGCTCGAGGAGTGGGTGGGCAGCGCATACCTGTTTGTGGAGTCCTCGCTGGATAAAGTGGTCCTGTCTGATGCCTACGCTCACCCCCAGCAGAAGGTGGCGGTGTACAGGGCTCTGCGGACTGCACTGGCAGGTGCGTGGGTGGGGGGGTACTTGAAGAGGGAGGGGAACTTGGGCCTTT